TTTGTTGAAGGATCATTTTGAAGAAGCAATGAGGACACCCTCATCAGCACCACCATTAATGGCGAATCCCTTCGTTAGAACTGCAGGACAATTAATGTTCACCTGGAGTCTGGTGGGGATAGAGTTGGAAACACTGACCTCGTATGACAGGTTGAAGTTGGGAAGCAAGAAGCTAGATGTGTATCAGGCACTGATGCCACACGTAGCCAGGGACAACTCAGGCTTGAGCCTGGCCAAAAGAAAGGATGCCACGTGTTTCTTGAGATGGATAATGTCGATGATGTCTGATAGCACCATCCTGGCATGCCAACAGAGAGCAAGCGTAAGCAAAACCATGGAAAAAAGAGTCTCAACGGTCATCTTGAACGTGTATCAGAGCACAGGAATAGAAAAGGAAAAGGGTTCCAGACTATCCCTAGAGAACCATAGGAAGCTAGACGAGGTACGGAGGTTTTATAATAAGAAGTTCGAAGAAGAACATGATGTTCACCGTAACCTGGCCTCGTCAGAGCAGTACTCGAGAATCAGCGAGAAGGGGGAATACCAATATGTGTCTGGAGTGATGGGAATGGCCTATAACCCCTTCTTAGACTCGAAAGCTGGAGGCGCCCACAGGAACCATGAGGTAGCGGAGCTACTGAAGTTTTGGACAGAAAGAATAATGGAAATAGACGCGGTGGAAAAAGAGGGGCCGAGACTGGGCCTGATTCTTGAGAAAACACCAGAGGTGGTGAGCATACCGCGTTCAAACAAGAGAGTTGAAGTGAACATGGGCGATGGAAATGGCTTGTTAACCACGAACTTGGGAGTGGTATGGAAGCTATTAAGACCCTCCTGGTGTCCACATCCCCACGCGAGTCTGATCGAGGAAACCACCGAGCGAGTGAGGTTAGCACCAACGGAAGATGAAGATCTGGCAAAGTTGAGTGTGCTGCATAAGCTAATTTCACCTCAGATGCAAGAGCCAAGCGAAAAGAGTAGTAATCTCGGGTCAGCAAAGAAATTGGAGCCGGGTAGCTGTCTGGATTCGACGTGTGGAAACGGAGAGCACACCTGCGATGGACGGTCATGCGTTAGAATACTGTCATTTCAAAAAGAAGACCTGGTCACTTGGTTCGAAGACATAACAGAAAGGGAGAAAAGTGAAGTGCAAATAGTAGCGGAGTGTTACGCGAGAACCACGGTGAATATAGCGACAGCTCTCGGATTCTTCTCGAGAACGTGTAGTCTGCAGTCACTGGAAAGACTAGAATCTGAACATCATTTAGTGACGGCGTTGAGCGTAGAATCATGGCCCGGGGTGTTGCAGGTGACTCAAAAACACATCCGGAGCTGGAAGGTTGGTCTCGAGGCGGAAATGGGATTTCCCATGAGCGAAGCTTATGGCTTGCCATTGAACGCGAAATCGCTGATAGGGTCAATGATGGCCAACTTGTGCGGAAGTCACTACCCACTGCACATGGTGATGGTGGAAGCATCCAGCCAGAGAGTACTGGTGGACAAGGCCTTCTCAGTGCCCAAGTGCGTGAGGTTGGCTCGGATATCGCATCACTCGCACAAGTTGTTGAGAAAAATCAGAGGGACAGTACCAAAAGAATTGAGAGATGGTTTGACTGAAATCTGGGGAGAAGAACTTTTGAAGTTGGAGAGAGAGAACACAAGCGATCACGAGAGACAAAACGTGATCGGAAAACCTGTGGGAAGTGCTCCAAACCTGGAAGATAACGACACGATGCATGAGAAAATGATGGAGCTTGAGCCTCTCTTGGAAGCCTCGGGGGAGCGTAACCTCAGGAGCATTGAAATCACCCATTAGCGCAAACGGTGTGGTATCCAGATCACAAGAACCTTTGCCTGGTGTGGGATATGGAAGAAATCCGGTCGATCGGACTACCGGATCACCGACAGAAGGTGACGATCTTGGTAGTGAGTACGATCTTGGCTCTGAGATGGATAGAAGAGAATATAACGAAGTATCGGGAAGCGGGGACGCCAACGGCAGAGTCAATATACGCGATAGACTACAGTAGGAGACTCGAGTTGTTTGAGACTGCGTGCAAGGTATTCGCCATACCAACGGAAGTCAGACATGTCTGGAGCCGTTTGAGGTACTTCCCATGGTTTCGGGCGACGCTGACGTCCTGGTTGTACATGACAACGAAAGATCACATGAAAAAACATCCAAAGGAGTATCGACAGTTCCAGGCCGAGATTGGGCCGGAAGCTTTCAAGAGACCCCTGTTAACCCATCGTAATGCAATCACAACAGGATGGAAGAGAGTGGGTAAAATGTCTAGAGACAATACCAAGGCGAGGGAATCGATACTAGAGGAGGACCTGGCGAAGAACGTGAGCTTGAGCCTGCACAACTCCTTTTGTTTGAACCGGGAATCTAGGGTGAAGGCACTACCCAACCAAGCAAAGAGGTTGCAAGAGCAAAGAGAATGGATGCGATCCTACGAACAGCTGAAGGCTTGGGAGGAGATTGTGATTAGCTCCGATGATGAAGAGGAACTGTTGAGACAGTTTGCCGTATCTAGTACTTCAGGGTGTAGTACCTCCAAGGCGAAGAGTGCGAGATGAGTGGGTGGTTCGTATGGATCTTGAGTCTTGAGAGGGGAAAGGGGGCTTGAGCGTGGATCCGGGTGAAACTTGGATTCACGAAAAAGAAGTTTTAACAAAGCAAATATTGTTATTAATATACTATATTTATTATATAAATCAAGATGCTGCATGACAATTTCCTGATTGAATAGGACAAAAGAAATTTTAAATGATTGGCTTGGAAAGCAAGAATTCAAGGGTGCAGGTGTGTGCAGATTTTGATTGCTGTTTAGCGATAGTGTGAAAATTTTACATGGCTGTGAATTTTGGGGTGTAGATAAGCTTAAGTCTGCTGCAAACTTCTGTAAATGACCACTGGCACTGTATCTTGAGTAACACTCGGTTTCCTGGGACTCACTGGCAGAATACAGCACGCGATGAGGACATCGATCTCGAGTCCGGGGAGTATGTGCCAGTCGGTCATATTCGGAAGTTTGACCTTGGGAGAAGCAAAAAAACACTTGATTTTGGAGTGAAATTTAATTTTTCAAAATTTCGAATGGAACCTGTCATGCACGATTTTCTCGCGATAACTGAAAATCAGAAAAGAGAAGTCAGAACGATCGAGTGACAATCGCGGGAAAGTTGCTAGAAAAATCAGTGGGAAATTGCTATTCGCAATTTCAGTAGCAATAATAATCGAGAGTAGAGCTGTCCCATCTGAAACAGAGACGAGCGCATTCCCACGAACTGGATTGTTGTGACTGGAGTACTATTATTAACTGGACCAGAGTGAACCTTAGGTGGAAAGGTGGACAGCTAGAGTGTCCCAATGGTTCACGAGAACTCACAGTCTAGAGTAAAAAACTTGTTTTGTTATTGAAACTGACTAACATTAAACTCATCTTAGTTACTTTATTGATTCTTGAGTTGCTTACCGACTTATTTACTTCCTGGTTCTTGAGCGTGCTACAATGTGAGTACTAATTTAAATTTCTAGAGTGTTTTATAATTGTTATGTTGAGGTAAGGCGAGTTTTAGGTTGATCCATCTGAAATGGATCAAAGTTCCACTGTCTAATAAAAAGTGACTTAACGGATTGTTCCAACCCGGTTTTTAACGGCGTTCATGTATTTTGGGTATCTAGAGACCTAAGTATGGGGACGTTTCTAATTCTAGAGTGGGGGGATATTTTAGTAGTAGCCTTTAAGCTGTAATGGGTCGCAGTCTCATGTCACAAGCGAACCGAATTGGCTCCGACTGATTTGAGGTATAAAAACACAAGAGATAGTGTCCATGACTCTTGAGCCAATGGTTATAGGGCCTATTTTTCTTGAGCCTCATGTGTGACTGCAGTAGACGAATGTTACAAAAACTTAAATTATTTTAATTTAAAAATCTGAAATTCCCAACCCTGTAGTTAGGTCCTATCAGAGTACGGCTCTTTTCCAGTTCCCCCCCCCCCCTTGTTAAATTACAAAAAAGAGATGTTCAAAAATTGTTCACACGGCAATTTTCATGTTAGAAATGTTGTGAAAATTTGTTCAGCTGTTCACGCTGACACGTTTTAATGCAGTTTATAACATTAAAAAGTATTTTAAAAAGACTTTCATGTATTGAATTTTAGAAAAAATGAAAGGGGGGACTGGAAAAGAGCCCAGAGTACTCTCAAGGATTGCGAATCTTGCCTCCAAATAGGACTGCTCAATTCTTTGTAGTTATCGAGATATGACGTTTTTTGTGATTTTTTCAAAAATTTTCAGAAAACTTAAATTATTATAATTTAAAAATCTGAAATTCCCAACCCTGTAGTTAGGTCCTATCAGAGTAATCTCAAAGATTTTGAATCTTGCCTCCAAATATGACTGTTGAAATTCTTGTAGTTTTTGAGATATAACGTTTTTTGTGACTTTTTCAAAAAAAATTTCAGAAAACTTATATTAATTTTTTTTTGCAAAATGTGAAATTCCCAACCATTTAGTTGGGTCTTGTCAGAGTAATCTCAAAGATTGCGAATCTTGCCTCCAAATAAGACTGCTCAATTCTTTGTAGCTATCGAGATATGACGTTTTTTGTGATTTTTTCAAAAATTTTCAGAAAACTTAAATTATTATAATTTAAAAATCTGAAATTCCCAACCCTGTAGTTAGGTCCTATCAGAGTACTCTCAAGGATTGCGAATCTTGCCTCCAAATATGACTACTCAATTTTTTGTATTTTTCGAGATAAGACGCTTTTTGTGATTTTTTATGAAAGTTTATATGACCCAGTTTTTTCGAAAATTTTCATTTTTTTTCCGGCTTTTTATGCTTTTTTGTTAGTGTTGTATCGCAAGTGGTGCAAAGCTCCGCTTCGCCTCTGTGTATAATCGACGCGACGTCTATTTGAAGAATAATATAAATAATTTTTAATGAAGTAAATAATTACACCTAAATTAAAACAAAACAATTAAATGCCTTATTCTTGTTGTCTTTATTGTTAGATCCGATATGGCAGGATTTTGTCTCAAACGGTACCGCACTAACCTGAACCAATCAACCATGATCAAATGATGTCAAAAATAAACAAATGTTTTATTTGCTTATCAAAATTAAGTTAGAATACTGCTCATTTGCCTCATTTATCAAGAGTTGAACTTCAACATACTCCGGTAATATTTTTGTGACTATTCGTGTTTCTACGCTGCACAATGAGTGTTCAGCCTTCAGAAACTGATAATCAAAGTATCGGATCGACTTCTTCGGATCTCCTGGAAGAACCCAAATTGCGATTACGGTCCAATTCATTCTCGGAGAATCGAGGGAACATCGCTTATTTGGCAGAGTCGGAGAAATTAAAGGTCGAAATTGAAATTTTGAAAGGCGAGCGTGATAAACTTAGAAATGAAGTTCAGAGTTATTTAAATAATCAAACTGAAACTGAGCAGTCGGCTAATCTATTTGGGTTTTCTTACGAGCCTAATACGCAGCTAATGAAGTGTGTTTTGGAGCGAAGCAAAGTCAAGATGAACCAAATGCTTTTTTATTTTGAAAAGGTAAGTGGGAACCCAGCTAGCGATTTCTACAGATTTGTCTAATTACTAACAATTCGGTTTGTTGTTTTACAGGACGATAACAAAAAGCCGAGCGAAGTTGGTAAGCATTTCATCTAAGTTTCGAATGAAAGGCCCACAATTAATTAATCTGTAAGACAGCCATTGACTGCTAGATTTAAGAAGGAAGTAAAAACTGATAGAAGAAACTGTTATTATTTATAGTCAAAACAATTGTTCAAATTGGTACTTTTATATTTGATTCGAATAACAATCTAGTACTGTTTCTCAGCTGTGTCGAATCGTTCTCGGCTTGCAAAAGAAGAATTACACGAAGATTTATCAGCCCAGAAGTTGAAAGAGAATATTCTGCGTGTGAGAACTGCTCTGGTTCCATTCTCACTACTACTCTCTAATCTATCATATGTATCTAGCTGGAACAACCCCATCATATCAATCAATGCAATGGGAGTTTACTTCTATCTCGTCTACAATCAGAAACTCCTCATTGCGCTTTATGCCATTTTGCTTTTCTTCTTTACTCTGTCCTATGTTGTTAAGTGTGGATACAAAGTTACATCTATGTTCGGTTAGTAGTTTGAATACCATATTTTCAGTGGTAGTAATATGCCCTATCAAAAAATTATGACTTGAACACCCGATACGCATCGCATCAATAAGTACCCAGTCACGTAGCATAATTCACGGGCGATTATATAACAGCAAGCAACAAACCAATGGCGTTTGAATTAAATTGATATCTCATTTTCATTACCATTGCGTTAAGCAAGGGTATTCAAATCGGGTACTAGACTTTTTTCCCGTAAATAACTTTAGGCGCAGAATGGTCAAATGGTAAAAAAGTACATGATTGCTTAAGAACTTGGTAACTGTATTAGCTCATTGCAGTTACAACGCGCCATTTAGTTGTGTTACGTCTAGAGTTGCAACCGATTTTTGTAAGGAGTCCAAAATTTTTGTTACACATTCGGCACTTAAATCGGTCGGCTTATTTTCCTAACGCTTTTTTCGATGCAATTTTTTTTAAAGGCCAAAAAAGTGTTTATAGGCACTCTTTGGAAAATTTTGACAAAAAATAACGTTTTTTGGCGCGCGCTCCCCCCTTAAAGTAAGTATAAATTGGTGCCGAAAGCGCCTTTAGAAAATTTTTAGGCTCCGTCACCAAATATGGATATCTCAAAATAATACAAAGGAGGGACCCTTTGGGTCGGCAGGGGGTCGAATCCCTGAGAAGGGGGGCGTCCGCCCTCCTAAATCCGCCCCCGTGGAGTAGGAATAACTAGGGAGCAGGCTTTCATTACAGCGCAACATTCTGCCAAAAAGCGTCCAGCAAGATCGTGTTTCTTTGCCACCGGAATTGAGCCTTTACTTTACTTGCGGGAGCAACTGACTTGTAATCGGAAACTATACTTTTCCCCGTAAACAACTTTTCTTACACATTCAGCTGATATGCTCAATTCTGCTCGCATACTCAATACTCAAATAAAGTGAAAAAAAGTTGAGAAAATTTCAAGTTTTCCATTTTTTATTTTTTTGATTAACAAAATTGGCTCAAAAATTTGTTGGTTTTTGTTGTACGTTCGACTTTTTTGTGCATATAAAATAGTCCGTTAGTTTTTACACATTGTTTCGTTCAGTTCTTTTTTTTCGATTTTTTTTTTCGATATTTGATTTTTGAATTTTTTTCTCATTAGATTCTAAATGATAATTTTGTTTCTTTTAGCCATTTCATTTGAAAAATAAAGACCAACCAAGCCTGAAGTATTTTTTCCGGTTAAAAGTTTTTTTTAAAATTTTTATCTTATATCTTTTATTTTTTTATTAGATAAATGTTATCTTGTGAAAATTGATCATCTAAAAACTTTTTACTTTTCTGATTTTTTTAGTAGAGAAACAACTAAGGTTTTGGGTAAAGTCCACTTTTTTCGTGCCGCGTCAGTATAGCAAATTCATTCAATATCAAATACGTACCTCCAGCTTTAGCTGGGGCCCCTTTATCGAGACATACAAAAATTTTGGTCCACCTAGTTCTTCTCATATTTTTTTCGACTTAAGTTTTGTTTTTGATGTTTGTGTTGCATCGCAAGAAGTGCGAAGCTCCGCTTCGCCTCTGTGTAAAAAATTGTCTTTGAATACTTAATTTTTACTTCAGTTTTTAGATGACCCTGAGATCATAGTAGAACCAAAGCAAGTCTTCCGCGACAAAGTCCGAAACGTACTGAGCGCTGTGATGAAAATACAGACAGAGGGTGGTTTTGTAGCAGATGCGTTGGAAAAGACGATCAGTTTCTACCAATGGGAGGATGTTGAAGGCTGCAAACGTTTGGTGATAGCTCTATCGGCTAAAATAGCAGGACTTATCTTTCTGCCAAACGGTGTCGCTCAGCAGATCGCTTTGTGTCTATTTGGTTTCATATTCTTCATTGAAAGACCTCTCTTTCAAAGATTCCCAAGGCTGAAGAAGAAGTTCTCATTTGCATCAAAATTGTGGTCTAGGCTGCCGAACCGGGCTGAAAAAGAACAAAGGTTGGCTAGATTTGACAGTTTTTACTGCATTTTGGTATCATAAAAAGTTTGTTGTTTGAGATCCGGTAAGTGGAAAACATGGAAAAAAATCCATATTCCATGAAATTTTTTCTAGTTCATAAGTGGTGCTTTGGTTATTTGTTCAATCATAAGATTGTTATTACCCTTGCGATGAGCAAAGGTATTGCAATCGGGTACTAGAATTTTTTCCGTAATTATTTTGTTCTCTGGACGCATCTAGACTCATTCATCTACCGGACCTTTATGTTGCAACAGACATAATTTGAGCATTTTCGCATTTTAAATATACGGTCTCGTCGAATTTTTATGTTGCTTTAAATTTAAACAACTCAATTTGTTGAAATTTCATTTTCTCATTTTGCATTTTTCCGACTTTTTTTATATCGCATTTTTTCCCGTTTGATTAAGCTCAGCTTCAGCCCTGTGTGTTAATTTTGCAGCGATTTATAAGAACCGAGTTTTGAACATTGGTGTATTTGTTCAGGCGCATTGCCCAGACACGAGAAGAAGCATTTCTCATACACGATTTAGATTCAGCCTCACTCCTCAGTCTAGCAGAGTCAAGTAGAACTCAGAGGAGTCGCAATGCCTCCCGAGAACGTCCATCGGCGAGTGCGTCTAACGAAATGGGCTCCGACCATCCCAGGATAATCCGAAGCGACCAAGCTGGAACATTGCAGAATTCGAGTAACACAGAAGTTGGATCACCGTCTTCATCAAGACGGAATACTTCGAATATCAGGGAGATTTTGAAAATCAACAGTTCGCTGAAAAAATTGCTGGAAATGTATCAAATTGACGACCAGCCGATCCCACAGTTTGCGGAAGGGCTTGGATGCTACTACAGTCAACGGTTAGTTAATTATTAGCTGTAAGTGGACGAAGTGAATTTTTATTCATGTTCAGCATTTTTTAGCGCTTAATATTGAATTTTACAGGTATTGACTTTTTATTTCTTTTCGAGATTACTATGAATTTCTTCGCTCAATGAAATTACTCTCTGCTTTAAAAAAAAATTTAAATTGACAGTAAAAACTCTCAATGTCTTAAATTCGAAAATAGATTTTAATTTTAGATTTATCGGCTGAATGAAAAATTTACCTTTGGACGCAGCTTTCTCATGTCGGATTTTAAGACTAAAAAGATTTATCATAAACAATCTTTGAAAGAGTTGTCGGCTATGTGTTTCATTGTGTGCTTTCAATTATACACTCAAATTTTAAAAGTGTTCAAGAACCGTGTACTGTTTTGAAGTTTTTAGTTTGAAACAAATCCGTAGTTAAAGAGTTAACTGTTTCAGTTTTTGTCTCCCGAGGTAAGAAAGTGTAAGTGTGCGTGCTGCGCTGTTGAGAACCTGCGTGGATGTTTTAAAGCAGAATGTTCATGAGGTCTCTAGCTTATTTACGTTCTGGCCATGATGATTTTTGGGAATTTGTACACTAGCGAGCTTGAGAGCGTAGTGTATTAGTACGAACCTTCTTTTTTTCCAAAAGTAACACGCAAATAAAAGTGTTCGTTAAAAGTGTTCATTTATTTGGCCGCACTTTTGGTAGAATCACGATATGAAGCATTCGAAATTTCATTGCATCTGTTCTATGCTTTGTTTGTGGCCAGTGTTTGTTATTTATTAAGCGTCCGAGGCTGTGGTTAATGGGGGAGACTTAAAATCTCTAGGTTGCAGATCAAATCCGAGACTTAGCCGAATTTTTACTAATTCGAGGCTTATTTCTAATTTTTCTTATTACATTTTATAGAGCTGCTTTTTTGTCGTGTTTTCGCTAGTGTTTGCGAAGCAGTGGTATATTAGGAATTGACATTTTTTCTGGCCCAATTCACAATTAAGAGTGCTCATTTGGTGACTCTTTTGCTCTATATAATTGGAAATTAACTAGCATTTTTTGCATCTGCTTTATTGGTTACTTTTGTTTGTATACTTCCATGCATTAGTTTTATTTGTCAAAGGCTCAATGGGCGGCTACTCGCGTATTTTCGGCGAAGTGGCCGCTCGGTAAATACTAAAACTTTATTTAATGCCGATTGTGTTTCTCGGCATTAATTTTTGAATTGAATTTCAATGTTTTGTCAATACTTTTTTCTCGACTCATTTTTTTTTCTATTCGCTAGCTTGCCATTCTACGATTGATCGATGTGTAAATTTTTTTTGATTGATGGTTTTGAAGTTTCTAATTTGTTTTTTCATTCTTTCTGTAGTCACAATAAACCAATGAATGGGCGCTATCTTTATTTTTTTTACAGCTGTCATAATCAAATAGTTCATGATTTGAATTGTTTTAATTTTTCTTAAAAAAAAATCCCGTTTTTACAAATAATTTTCAAGTGTGCCAGATAAAAGCTGGATTGTGCCATATCTTCAAATACGTCTCGAAGTTTTAAATTTTTTTCACTTGTTCACCTACTTTTGTATTGCAAGTGTTGCGAAGCTCCGCCCTGTGTTAAGACTTGAAGAATCCCGTTGTCATATCCAGGTATGTGCGGACTTTGAATGGACGAGAGCGGTAATTCTAATATGTAAAGGCGTCGATCAATTGATTCACCTGTTTGATTGAAAAGTATAATTGAAGGGCTGGAAGAGAGGATCACAAGAATTGAAAAAAGTCTAGTTAAGACCATTTATGGAGGTAGTTCGATAGCGGCGATGCAACAAAAACAATTGGTATCAGATTTTTGGATATCAAAATAAAAATAATGTTCAGTTCTGGTCAAACGGTGCTGTTTCGGGTGTTATAAAGAAATTTTGGGGGACGCAATTTTCCTCGAACACGAGATAAGTTGTTTTGTGCGTATACGTATCACCATGCAGAAGAGGGTTGAACCTCTCAGAACGTAATTTTTTGGTCCAATGACAGCTGCGACAATATTCAAATAAGGGCTTTTTGCTTGAAAGATTAATTTGATGCAGTATCGGATGATACAAGTTTTAGAAATTTTAGCGTTTTAAATTTAATTTATTTTTAATGGGGTGAAAAATTACTCTTTTTGAGTAAAGAATGAGGCTGGAAAATAGACTTTTGGTTAACGTTTCCAAAAAAATGTCGACAAGTTGTTTGTTTGTTGTTCAAAATTCACGGCAGCTTTTGCGTTACTTCAAAAGCAACATTTCTCGAATGTGCGTTAAAGTCAAAGTAGGTCTATTTTTTTTGTTGAAGATAAAGTGCTGATTTAAATTATCCGGGCAAAACGGACAATTTTTCTCGTTTCTCGCGTTTTTCTCAAATGCGGTAAAGATAGACAAAAAGGGAAGATAACAAAATTTGCTGAGAATTTCACCAGAATTTATATAGTGCAATTTATTTTGCAAAAATTGGAACCAAAATTATGCTAAAAAGGGTAATTTTGTCGTTTTTAGTTAGAAAAATTTATGCTGAAATTACTTTGTTAATTGATGAGAATTCTAGAACTTTGTTGGGCTGTGTACGAGGCTTCTTTTTATATAACTTTCAATTATCAATTAATTTGGCAGAGTTAGCGTAATTTTTGATTGATCAAAAAACGCTAAAAATGACCATTTTTAGAGAATATTTTTGGGTCTGAATTTCGCAAATAAAATCGCATAATATTTTCTGTTGAAAATCTAATAAATTTATGTTCTGATTCTTTTTGGCTAATGTTAACCCAATTTGAGAAAAACGCCTTTAAAGTTTCCAGTGTTGTTCGTTTTGTCCGATTAATTAAAATCAGCTCTTTAGTGGCCAGATCGTAGACTTGTTTGATTATATTCTATCATTAACTATTTTCCGTTTGCAGCCACGTCAGTCTTCTAGACTGCACATAAAGTTAGTAACTTCCTAATGTTGAAAAAAAAATTATAAATAGAAGATAAAAATGAATTTAGTTTAATTTTACTTAACCTGCTTGCTCGTGCGTGATGCTTGCAGAACTTAGTTTATCTTTCAATTGTTATTCTGACCATGCGGTAGATGAAATTCGAACTTTTCTAGCAAAATTAAGTTGAAGTTTGATAAATATATCATGCTTTAAGACTTGCATTTGTGATTCGAGCTGCAGAAAGTGTAATAAGTGACCCTAATGACGAGAAAACTGGTTTGAAGATCGCTGTCTTCTGACTGAAATATAACGCTATGTAGCTATGTTTTGATCAAATATGCTTAAAAACAGCATATTTGACTTTTTAAAATAATTTGGCTCCGCCGCAAAAAGTTTTTGCAAAATAGTGTCTTTTTAATGTTTTTGAAGAGCTCGAAAAGTCAATTAGCCACTCTTCCTCCTTCGAAACAACCCGAGATCAGTTCCTGAATAGGGATAATTGTAGTTTTGTTTATTGGGTTAAAAACTGTGGTCGGAATAATCTCAGCTACTTTGTAGAGAAAGAGGCTTTGAATTTGAATCATGTTGATTTTAGAAGAAGCATCCCTTTCGGCTTGCCGCGACTGGTGGCTGGAAAACTATTCTTGACTGAAAACCATTTGGTGTTCTGTGGAAAATTCCTGAAGAAAGAATCATTTTTGATTGACATTGGTGCCATTCGCAACATCGAATTGAAAGCCGCAGAGAAGGTTTCCAACTGGGCTCAAACAATCGAGATTCACACTGAAGAAGAAACTTTTAACCTTCACGTGGTTATGAGCAAAGACAAGACCCAAGAGTTGTACACTTGGCTGAAGTCGCAGGTAGCCGACTTCGGTGTTCCGCTTCTCAGAGACGAAAGGTCTTCGACAGGTCAGTCGGAAGATACTGTTGACGATGCGTTCTTATTTCCGGATTCAATGTCTGAAACTGAAACTAACTGATTGATAATCACTAATTTGTAAATTATTAAATCTAACTAAGTTTACTGTAGATATTATTTGATTAAAAATATTTAGAAATGTAAGTACTTTGATTCGATTACATATAAGAAATCTCGACCTTATTTCATTTTTCAAATGAGTTTTTAAAAGTTTATATAAATATATATATATAAGGAAGATAAAAGAAAACAGTTAGCCCAACGCTTAAAAATTTTAAATAAGAGAATTGTCGTTTTATTCATCATAGGTTATCATTCCTTGTTAGTGATTTCTTGACTCATTTATTTGAAAAATTGATTAATTTGAATGGAAGTGCAAACTTTTCACAAAAGACGAGAGGTTTGCTAAGAAATTACAGCTGAAAATTTAACGAGCCAATTTTTTCCGCTTGCGCAATGACTTCGTTCACATTCATTGCCGATTTCTTATGTTTCCGACACCGAATGAAGTCAATTGCCGAGAGAAGTCAAAATAAGGGCGCGGTATCACTTCGCTTTGAGTTTCAGAAGAATAAACAATTCGGCCATTAGCTGTTTAATCATTGCACTTGCGAGAGCATAAGTATTGTAATCGAACTACACGTACGCGATTTCTTTTCCCGTGAACAACTTTTACAAATCTGTAAGAAATTGAATTTGCTTTATTACCCTTGCGATAAGCAAGGGTATTGCAATCGGGTAACTGACTTTTTTTACCCGGAACAACTTTGTTCACAGGACTGATCTGGACTCCCGGTGGTTCATTGCTTCACAATAAGTTAAAATTTTTCAGTGTCTACTGAACACTTAGTCTGGATGTAGCGAATACGCCTGGTACGGAAAAGATCCTGAGTTCGAATCTAACCAGGACCTATTTTTATTCGAAGGGGAAATATTTTTCAAATAAAATTGTCCGTCTAATATTTGTCTGTTTTATTTTGCCGGCTTAGTTGACACGTCTAAGAATCGTTTTTTTTTTGCTGTGATAGATTTTCATTGTAGTTGCTTTTACTGTCTCAGCATTTACAAATCCGGCCGAATCGAAATTTGATTTTTACATTGTAATTTTACTAACTCGATTTGTTAAAATTTCGTTTTTTTTTCGATTTATTTTATATCGTTTTTGTGTAGTGGCCTTTTGCTGCGGCGTTTAACGACCGACAAAAGTTCTTGCGTGCGTGTGTGTGTACTGAGGGGAAGTGGTACTTAAAATTTTAAAAATTTGTTTATTTTTTTTTCGGCAAAAAGGGTTTCTACTCAGGTATTTTCGGTTTTGTTATTGCTTGGTAAATTTTTGTTCCGATGCAATTTTTGCATTCTATTGTCTGGGCATGTTTTAAAAAAAAAATTTCATGCCTTTTGGTAGATCTAGTTGTATGTATAGATATAAATTATCGGTATTACTGTTTTGCCGATGGTTTTTGGGCTTTATGCTTGTCGATTATGCTCTCGCCTTAGCTTCCGAATTGTGTTTACCACCACCTTGCATTCCGTACATATATGGCATTAGTGGATACTACTTGAGCAGTACATGTATTTTTTTTCGAATTTGATATTGCTGAACAAATTTGGTTGATTTTCAACTGATTAGCTGTCGGCTTTAATGTTGTCCGCTTATTTACCTAAGCTTAGGTTATTTGCCACAAATTTCCGATGTTGTTTTTGAGTTCGATAAGACTTTGAACCCAAGTTCAAGTTTTCGAATGATCAATTTTGACCCTATTGGATTTCTTTGTTTAAATTTATTTAGTCTATTTAGTTTTTTCTTCAACGGTCACAACGTTCGAAGTCCTCTTTGATATTTCTTGTCTGTTGCAGTTTTAATCCTATTCTAGTTGTATCGCAAGTGCGCGAAACTGCGCTTCGCCTCTGTGTTGAACTGAACAGCTGCCTGGCTCTTCTCAACTTAGTCTAAAGGTAACGCGGTTGCAAGGTCAGGGTTTCGCGCCACAACGGCCTTGTTTTTTTTCATTATGTATGAAATATGCATTTTTTAGAAAATTATATTGTCGCACATGCGTTTGTTTTTTTTTTATTTTGTCAGCTGAGTTGCCAGATCTCGGATTTAGATAATTAATGTGCTGTAAAAAATTTTCATTGTAGTTTCAAGTTGGTTACTCTGTAATTTCTAAAAATACAAACCCTGACTTAATATTTTATCATTTTGTTCGCTTTGAAGCCTTTTTGTCCTAAATAGCTTCTGATAATGTTTTGACGGACTAGTCAATTTGTTTTGTGTCGTTTGCAGATAATTGGGTTCATGAGAGTTGGACAACAGTTGTTTTGTTCAGATTTTGTTTTCCTAGCCTATTTTTTTTTTGAGGTACCCGATTTATTTGATGTATTGGCAAGAAGCAAGCTTGAGTTGCTCTCAAATCGGAAAAGAACTTGTATATTTTACAAAAAATAAATTTGACTGTTTTGCAAGGGCACTCATTTGTGTGTATTTCAATACTTTTTTCGTTGCGTTTTCCTGTTTGACTTTTCGTTCAACTGACTTTTCTGATAATTTTTGTGATCGGAATTTCTGTTTTCTTTGTCGATGAAAATCGGCTATTTTTTTCGACTTCAACTTTTCAAAAAAAAATGGCTGTTAATTGTTTGAGATTTTTTTGCTTCGTTGAAGCAATTTTTTAGCCGTCTTTTTGTTGAACTAATCAAAAATAATGTCCGAGATTTCGATTGTTTTTGGAATATGAATAACTTTCAATTGTTTTCAGTTTTTTTTTCAGCAAAAAAATCGTTTTGGGATTGTATCTGTCTTGGCTCTTGTATGCTGCGACTCACTTGCTCATATAACCATCATGGTTACCAAATATAATATTTAAATTTGAAAGCAAAAAAAGTTTTCGTCATTCGATGTCAATTTTCTGAAATGAAGTGTTAAATTTCGTTTCAACTACAAATTGTGAATGAAATCGACCCTCTATTTGCAAGAGAGTAACATAGCTTTCTTTTTGCAAATATGGGAGGTAAAAGTATGGAGAGCGGATTTACTTCTTTTCATGTAAAAAATTTAAAACTAAACAGGTAATTTTGGTTGATTGAACTAAAGCAAAGTTCGAGCAAATCGTTTAATCAAAATCATGACAGGTCATTGAAATTCCGTCCGTTCCTGAGCTTCGAGTGTACGATTTGTTCAAACTTTGCTTAGGTTAATTTTGGACTTCAATCAACCAAAATTAACCTATGTTAGGTTCTAAAATTTTTTGCTCAAAAATATTTCCATGAATAAAAATCAAGTCCACTCAAAGTCAAGTCAGATCATTTCAGTTCCGTCCGTTCATGAGTTTGGTGTTATTTTCAAATTTTTAAAAAATAAATCGTGCGCATAACTTTCCGTAGCATTAATCAAAATTGATTTACCGCTGTTAAACTGGTGCAACCGGATACCAGTGAACCGTTTTGGATATCGGGTTTAAAAGTTTGACTGGTTATATTTAACTAAAACTAATATCCGTAAAACTCGCATTTTACCGATATCAGTTTCATAGGTTTTTGATGACGCAAACTACGGTGCATAAATCAAACATTCAATTAGAGTTTAACTTAACTCTATTTGTTTCAATTTTCTGATTTGATTAAGAGATCGCAAACTTTCACCAGCTATTAAGCTCAAAAGCTCAAATTTTTGACCTGGAATCATTTTGAAAAGCAAACTAAATCTGGCTGGAATTAATCAAACAAAACACTATCGCTATCTAAGTTTATAAATTTTGGCGAAGCGGAGATTCGCACCACTTGCTATACGACACAAAGTTTCGAAAAAAAAATTAAAAAAAAAAAATCAGGTGAAACAAACTTTTCGTACGTCTCGATAAAAAACAACTAGACCCAGTTCAAGCTGGATGTACGTGTTTGATATTGAGTGAATTTGCTGTACTGATACGGCATGAAAAATTTGATTACAAAAATCGGACTGCTCAAAACCTTAATCGCTTCTCTACTAAAAAAAAACAATTTTAAAAATTCAAACAATTTCTAAAAAACGGTCAAAAGTTCTATGAAGCGGTCAAAAAACTTTCCAAAACTCATAATCTTTTCTGCAAAAAACAAGTTGTGGCCGCAGAAGCAAAGGAGATTCCGAAAACCGGGTTTCTCGATTTAACACAACCTGCGAATTAGCACAGTACTTATCGCGTAATGTCAAGTTTCCAAAACATTGTCAAAGTTTCAAAATTTTGACTTGTTTCAAGGTCTTTTTTTCCCTAAACAAACACGGCATTGCCATACATAAAAGTAGGCTTTCAATAATCTGTCCTTTCGATTTAACCAATGATATCAGATTTACCGAGTAGTTAGCATGAAAAGCCCAAAAAACTCAAAAAATCAAAAATTTGGCTTTTCCGAGAATTTTTGATTGAAAACATAGGTAGTAAACGCTTATGCAGAAGGGATTTACGCAACTTGTAACTTCAATTGAACCCAAAATCTCACCTTAGGGGATAATTCTCGGGAAAAGTCAAAAACGCTCAAAAAATGAAAAATTGACTTTTCCGAGTGCCATAACTTTTGGTGTCAGAAAATTTGGTAGCAGTCGCATGAGCAAATAAGCTTCTCATAACCCGTTCTTTGAATTGAACCCAAAATCGCAGATATGGTAGGGTAGTTTTCGAGAATATTCAAGTTTAAGAAACGGTCAAAACATCAAACAATTGACTATTCTGAGGGCCATACATTTTGGGTGTTCAAAAAATTTTGCCGTAGCCGCTTATGCAGGGAGCTTTTTAAAACCGTTTTATTCATTGAAAACAAAAACTTAGATTTGAGAGGGTTTGTTTTTAGGAAATTTAAAAAAAATCAAAAACAAATAAAAAGAAAACTAAACCGATTGATAAATATACAACCAAATTAATTGAAAAGTGCGGAGCGGAGTGTTAAAATTGTCTTAGGCCGATAAAAAAATAGTCCAAAACAATTTGGGTCCAAAATTTTTTTGCAAAACAAAAAAAAAACAAAGGAAATGCCAAGTCAAGGAAGGTAAAAGTACACATTAAGACTTACCAGTCAGAACTTACCAGTCAGAAAAAATCACACACTGCAACATTCCATTACAATACGCGCAGCAAGTTGGCCAGGAACGCATAGAAGTTTGAATTTACTATGAACCAAGATAACGTAATTGTGTTGAACAAGTTGTTAACCCAAAAAAGTATGTATTCCACTTTGATCACGATTGTTAATCGCAATCGTAATCACGTGTAAATGGGAAATCTAAGGAGTCTCGAACAATGAATACGCTTACCAGTCAGAGAAAATTATCCTCAGTTTTGAGGGTATATAAAAGGCTGTGAAATAGCGAAATTTAATTTTCATATAAAATTCTATGATATGGCAACTAAGTCCACAATTAGCAACTTTTTCTTTCAATTTAACTTTTCATCTCAGATTTGATAGTGTAAATTTTAAAATATCTAAAAAACGGTCAAAAGTTCTAAGAAACGGTCGAAAGACTTTCAATTTTCATACTTTTTCTGCAAAAATCAAGTTGTGGCTGCATAAGCAGAGACGGTTCCCAAGACCGGGATTCTCGAATGAACACAACCTGCGAATTAGCACAGTACTCATCGCGTAAAGTCAAAAAGTTAACAAAAACTTTAGACTTGTTTTTAAGGTCATTATTTTTTTCGTAAACAAACTTGGCATAGCCAAATATAAAGGTAAGCTTTCAACAATCTGTCCTTTCTATAAATCCTACGATATTAGATTTATCGAATAAATAGCGAAAAAAGTCCAAAAAACGGTCAACAAATCAAAAATTTGACTTTTCGGGAATCAGCTTTTTGTGTGGAAAAATAGGGAGTAGCCGTTTATGCAGAATAGATTCTCGCAACCTGTAAATTCGATTGAACCCAAAATCTCAGAAATCGGAGAGCAGTTCTTGAAAAAAACTTTCAAAAAACAGTCAAAAAAAATAAAATTGACCTTTCCGAGGGTCATAACTTTTGGTGTCAGAAAAATTTGGTAGACGCATAAGCAAATCAGCTTCCCACAACTCGTTCTTGGGAATGAACCCAAAATCTCATGCATGGTACTGTAGCTTTCGACAAAATTCAACAAGTTTAAGAAACAGTCAAAACATCAAACACTCATTAACAATTAAAGGAGTAGGAATGTACGATAATTATGGGTATTAGCAAAGTCATTATTTTTTTTGCAAAAGAAGTGGAAACGAAGATTCAGCGCTGATTTCATTCATCAAAGCATTTCAATTTCGAACTAATTGTCAGGCATTTGTAGCAGTAACCGGAGGTTAAAGGTGAGTGATTTAACAACCCAAGCTTTATTTTCAATACAAACATCGCATTGCTACCAAATACTGTCTTAGTTACCCTTGCGATAAGCAACGGTTTCGCAACCGGGTTCTAGACTTCTTTTCCCGTAGATAAGTAAGTTCACAGAATGTTAAATTGTTAAATGCTTATTAATATCGGTTGTTCAATGTCCCCTGAGGTAATAGCATAGTCATAGTTTGAGATCAAATACATCGTTTGAGCTGCATACATCGTTTGAGATCAAATAGTTTGTTCTTGTAAAGTAAATTTTTCTGTGCCAAAATATTTCGGCGCTGGAGCTCGTTCAGTCTTGGTCTTGGTGTGTTATTTTCTCTTTGGCTGTATTTTATTTCCCTGATGATATATGATACTGATTGCACCACCTGCACATGAAACTTCAAAAACTAAACCTCAAAAAAGATTTAAAATTTGAAGTATTTACTTTCAGCTTCTTAAAACCGAGCAGCACAATCAGTATGAAAAACACAGAAATCCAAAACAAAATCAGGGAAAAATTAATAAATGAGTCAACTAAATCAATATAATATAATCCGGAACTATTTAAACCGATAAAAAAAATGACAAATTTAAGTAATTTGACTATGCAAAATTCCAGTAAAAAGAATTGGCTCCTGGCCAGAATTGAACTAAACTTTTGTCGTTCTAATCAGTGACATTATCTTTACACTCAACGGGCAAAGTGAGCAGGTGTAACTCAATATACGAAAAACAGTAAATTAAAGGTGTATCAGACGGAAAAAAATTTATGAAAAGGGGTATTAACAATACGAGGCCAAACTGTGCATTCCGCAACAAGGACGCTCCCTTTGTTCTTTCATTTCCTTTGATCGTTCCGACAAAATCTTAACATGTTTAAAGACCTGCCTCTGGAATCCAGGAACATACAGACTCAAAATTGTGCGCCTATCCAGTGCACAGTTTGCCTCGATATCAAAAAGCCGTAAAAGTTCCATCAAAATAGCACCGATATTTGCAAATTGGCTTGGAAAAAAAGAACAGTAGTTTGCAAATTACGGTGGCTAGTGTAAATATTGGATGAAAAGACTATTTTTAATTCAATTGGGAGTTGTAAACTTAATATTGAAAAGTAAATGCCCTCAACGGTAATCGGACCACAAGCCTCGAGCATCCAAACCGAATGCTTTACAAAGCTATGCTAATGACGTTAAGATAACAGAAGCACTAGCCACTGGCTAAGCGGAGAACACATGCTACTAAACTGCCAATACGATGCAGCATAAGTGTTCACCAAACTGAACACTATTTTCTGCCAGCTGCCTGAAAAAAATTACTCATATAACACCATGTTGGCATTCTGGCTTGTGTTAATTTACTCTACTCAGTAGCACTTGAACATAAGCCTGGCTCTCATCGACAAAATGTTTTCCAGATATAGGCTAAAATTGTTTTGCTCATTAGTTTTTTCATGAAAATGGAATTCGTAAAACTATTTGACAGTTTTGTCGGGAGAAGATTCAACTCTTCAGAAGATAAGCGTCCTCAGGTTACGAAATCTTTTTCAGCTCATTTGGCTGAGTTGCATCCATTTTACGGCCCTTTTTAATTTATCTGGGTGTCGTATAATCTGAAATTATTGACCTGAATCTACTCAATGATCAGTTTCCTAAACGGTGAAATTTGCAAATGGAAATAAAACTTTAAAAATCACCTATTGCAGTCTTGCGGAAAAAAAAGCAAATTTGCAACATTTATTTTGATCAAATTCTTGATTCGATCTGATTAAATTGAACTTAATTGAGTGATTTTTAATATTGAACATGCAAGTTCAACGGACATTTTTCGGTTGTAATTATTTCGATTGCGTTTCTTTATTTCGAAAAATGCCTATTAAGATATCTATATAAAGGATGATTGTATTCGCCTAGGATCATTACTTCACTTCAAATTCAAATGTAGCCCGCTGTTACTTGATTGTTGTGATAGTGGATTGTTTTTTTCCGTTCGTTTCTCTGATCTTATTTGTTTGGAGCGCTTGCTGATTCTTTTGCCTGCTGTTGGTTCAGTTATTGTGGTTCGAGGTGTTATTGGGTTCGATAGATTTGAGGATGCTGTTGACTTCCTCGGCAACAGTACTGAGACAGAACTCGAACTGGTCCTGCAACAAAAGAAATTTTATGATTTCGATCAAGCAATTTGGTCACAAAACGCATTCTGCACGATCAATCTTCTTTTGAACAGATTTACGAGTAAATTTCAAAAAGGTAAAACAGCCTTTTAAACCTTCATTTTCAACATGGTAACAACATTTCTTGACACATCATTCATATACACTGCAATATTCAACATCGTGAATCATTTGACGTTGCTTCAAAATTAAATTTTTGTCACTCGATGCGGATCTTGTTAATTATATCGCCACCACAGTAACTTAAAACCCTTGCGATAAGCAAGGGTATAGCAATCAGGTCCTATTGCAATCAGGTTTTATTCCCGTAAATGATTTTGCTCATTAGATCTCCAATTTAAGGATCTCCAGCTCTATCAAAGTTGCACTATTAACAGCTGAAATTCTGAGTCTACAGCTGAAAACTTCCACATATAACTTGGTTTTTGCAGACTTTATGGATTTCGTCCCAATTTATATCAGAATAATCGCTAATTTATGCACGCTAAGACTTAGTTAGAAAAAAATTTTCAAGGCGACTTTTTGCCATTAAATTTTCAGTTTTTTGCATGCATGGTTTTTTTTTGTTCTAAGAACGTGTTTAATAAGTTTTGAGACAATTTGGGCTATAATAAGGTCTGACCAATTTCATTTTAAAGCGATGAAACGTGAAGGCACAGCGTATTGTTGTAATGTATAAGAATTTGAAATTAATAAATTGCCAGAAAGTTTGTTTAGTTTCCAATTTAGACTGGACTGACTGTTATTCTACGAAGGTATTTGGCGAAAGACGCACGAGATTCAACAGTGAAAGTGTTTCTGGCTCAAATTATATAAAATAAATTTGATTTTTTTTTTTCATAAGCTTCTTTTTTATTGTAATATTTTTGTTGCGATCCAGCTCTCTTACCATTTCATAATAACTCTATATTTGATACACAGAGGCGAAGCTGTGCTTCGCAAGCACAAGCAAAAAAATGAAGTCACTTTAAAGGGTCAAAAAAGAAAAAACATGTAAAAACGGATAAGTTTTGCAAAATAAACCCTACACAATTTTGCCACGGAAGCTTCTAGAATCCAAAGACAAGCGGCAAAAGTGAGCTTCAAAATGCATTAGTTTTGCATGTAATAATTTGGAATGTAATGAACGAAAGTCAACCAAAATAACTTTTCATGAAATAAATTGGAAGCTATAAAACCAACTAGAGAGATGGTATTTTCAAGTTTTATAAAAAAAATTTATACCCAAGTTCTCTGAAAAATTTTGAGAAAATCCTAAAAACCGTCATATCTCGAGATCTACAAGATTTTGAGCAGACATATTCAGAGGCAAGATTTGCAACACCATGAAAGTACCCTCGCAGATTCCAATAACAGGATTGAGCTTTTCAAATTTTTGGAAGTTTTTAACATCTAATTTTTTTTTGGAAAATTTCGGAGAAAATCATAAAAAACGTCATATCTCGAAAACTACAAGGATTTGAGCAGTCATATTTAGAGGCAAAAATTGCAACTCCTGAGAGTAACCTGACAGAGCCTCACCACCGAGATGGGAATATCAAACTTTGTGAATTTTTTTATATCTAAGTTTTCTGAATTTTTTTTTCAAATCCGGAAAAAACGTCATATATCATATCTCAAAAACTACAAGGATTTGAGCAGCCATACTTAGAAGAAAGATTCGCAAACCCTGAGAGTACCCTCACAAAGTCCATCAACAGGACAGATCTTCAACGTATTGGAGTTTTTAAAATCTAAGTTTTTGAAATTTTTTTTGAAAAAATCATAAAAAAACGTCATATCTCGAAAACTATAAGGATTTGGTTATTCATATATGGAGGCCAGAATCGCAAAAGCCGGGAAAACTCTGACAACATCCAATTATTGGGTTGCTAATTACAAACTTGATGAAATAAAAACTGAATTTAAACAGGAAAATTGAAAAAACCTTAACCATTGCAATATACGATGTAGCTTAAACGTGAAAAAATTCGTTTGCTAAAGATGCAAAAAAATACGTTGAAAAAGCTTTTAAATATATAATAGAGAATAGACTTGACAGAAGAAATTTTTAAAAAAAATTAGGAGACGGGTAGACAGACATAATCAAATTAATTTAAAAAAGCAGGTATACAGACAGACAGACTTAATTACTGAAAAATTAACGACCTTGCCGAAAACTAAATGAAAAACTTTCTTAAGCATTGCAATATATGATATAGCTTAAACATGAAAAAAATTCTTTCGTTAAACATGCAAAATTATTATGCTTAAACATGGGAGATAGCTGTCACTAGCATTTAAATGTAGTATAGTTAGATTGTGTATTAATTAAGCATTTGAAAAAATTCACGAATTACCTTGAGTTGAAATATTTCTGATTTTTTAAATGATTATACTATTGTATGAACCAAATAGCTTTCTAAAATTCATTTTATGAATTAAAAACACATTATCTGTGTTAACTTATTAATAATTAAATGTCTCCTGCTGAAAATGCCACCAAAGTAGCTTTAATATTTGCAACTTAGGATTTAAAAAGTAGCCTAGTACAATCACAATACACTCCACTTGTGTAAAGATTGACGCATCGGCTTACCTCATACGTTTTTTTAATACTTTCTACAAAATCCTTTGTGACAATGGTTTGAAAACTTTTTAGTCTTTTGAAACTTCATTTTTCCATTTGTTTTTTCATTTTGATCTTAATTTATAGCAAGCAACTGATAATGCCTTTTGATACTCCCCAATAATCCCGAGGACAGGCAGTTTGTTTGGTTCCAAGAATTTTTGCGTTAAATTATTGGATCCGAATTTTTTGACCAAAACTTTAATTTTTTAATTATTTCTTTTAAGGTAATTGAGTTTTATAAGAATTGAATAAAAACTTTCTTGATTTTAAGGAGCAGATTTCCTCAACAGAATTCATTTTAATTACTTTTCCACCTTTTGCACGAGACTGATTCTTTTGAACTTAGGCATTCAATTTTGTATCGCAAGAGGTGTGAAGCTCCGCTTCGTCTCTGCTTAAAAAGTATCCACTCCAAAACAGGACCAATTCAACGACTAAGCATACGTAAATTTTGTACCTTCTGTAGGATTTCCTTTTGGGGGATACTAAACAAGATCTTGCGATTTTCACCTAATTCTCTCAATTTCTATATTTCTTATTTGTTTGAATATCAAAATATAAAATATCAAAAAATGAAGATCTCGTTCCATTGGAACCCAAATTCTGGCGTTGCCTGGAAGCGCACTGACCTTATTGGCGACAGCTCCACATCGCTGGTCTCTCAGGTGTTCGAGAGTGGCCGAGATGTCGATCTCCTTGGCGCCCCTGTAGATCTTGTTCAACACCAAGTCAATCAGCACATAGCACGCACTCTGGTCACACCCGCTGCCACACATAACTATGATGGGACTGTTTTTGCCCTTGTACGCCTTGCTCACCTTCCTACAACACAACACAAAACATGATGATGATGATGATGATCTTCTGGTTTATCACCCTCTTTTGCGACTCAGCCCTGAGGTATTACTTAATCCATTATCTTTTCACTGTTCAGCCCTCAACCGGGCAAAAAGACGAATGATGGTTATTGTCACTTTTTTATATGCGACCTTCAACCAGTTCAATTTAAAATCCAGCCATCTCTCATATACTACAATCCTCGGCCGGGTCAAGTTAAAATCCGAAACAACACGTTAAAAAAAGAAAAGCTGCCTCAAAATTTGTCTTTCATTCAAATTTGCTTTAATCTGGCTGACTCTATACAGTTATGCTAAATTATAGATCTATTCAGTGAAAAAAAAATGTTCTTGATGAAGCAAAGATCTCTAATTTAGACCTCAGATTAAAGGATTTTCTGATTTAAAAAAGCCTTTATGTCTTGTATAAAAACGTCTGGCTTTAACAATAATTCCAAGAAAACTTGGAAAGTCATTCTTCCATTTTACTCCGAGGATTTTCATGGTTTTTCAAAGGAGGTGAGGGGAAACTTGGAATCAATTTCCCAGCTGATGAAAATCAGCGTTGGTTATTTCTTTTAGGTAACTTAATCATGTTACACAGATACGCATGTTTAAGAAAGGTATATAAAATGTTCTGTACGAAAATCAGCGCTCTGAAAACAATTTTGTGTTGAAAATGCAGACAATGTAGACAATTCATGTAGTCTTTTCCATGAGACCGAAGACCAATCGACAAGCCGAATTCTGAACACGTTGAAGTTTTGCATCGTTTCATTTGGAAGTGCCGGTTAGCAAGATATTGCAATGGCGAAGTCTGGTAGAACTATGAGTCCTGTAGAACTGAGAAATATTTAAAAATATAGTAGAGTTTACGCAGCTGGTTGAAGCAAGATCAGGAGATCAGGTTACAAAATTTTCCAGGAAAAAAAACTGCGGAATTTAACCCCTAAATATTTTGAGAAACAAACTGGCAAAATGACTTTATTCTATTTGCAATATTATTCAACATGTAATTGAGTTGTTTACGTTTCATTATCAGAATTTTGGTTTTGTCTTTCATCTTCAACTTAATGTTCATCTTCAATTTTATCATTTCTCTACAAATATCTGGCTCAGTGTTCTTATCATTAGACAAAAACATCAGTGCGTAATGCGCGTAAGCCTGCTTGAAAATTTAAGATAGTTTAAGAATGTCACCGATTGTCGTCATGAACATCGTGAACATGCACCCAGAAAATAACCTTGAAGGACTTAAAACTTAGCTTCGGTTTACTTAGCATTAACAATTTCTTTCAATTGCAAATGGTTTCAAACGCAGCAGAGATCAACACTTAGAGCTATAACAAATTTAGTTGCACCCGGCTAATTTTAAACTTCACTGAAACTTCTAAGACATGTTTCAGTACAATGCAATGTTCAGTAAGCAGGTTAAATTTCGTTCATCAAATCGTTTTTTACGAGATAAGCTTTTAATTGCTTGGCTGCAGCTCTTTGATAAACTTCACTACAAATTCTTGTCTTAGCAATAAGTCTCTTATTTTTCAGGAGTTCTATCAACTGTTGGTTTCTTCAGGGTCGGTTTTATTATGGCTTTTTGAAGCTTTTGGGGAAATAACCATTTTGAAACTTTTTTTTCAGTGGTAAAAGATAGTCGTTCCAAACTTCTCGCAAAGATTTGATTTGTTGAGCGATTTAAGGAACCAGTACACACGTACTGTTTGACAAGGTTAGTTGTTTCTTCACATTGTTACTTCTCTGAAATTATTGAGCATGTTCATGATTTGACCGGGCACTTGAGTTCCAAAATTTTGGTTTCTGTTGAAATTGATTGTCTTATTTTGCTGATTTTGTTATTTTAAAAAAAATAAACTAAATAACCAGGATCACCATGTGGTTATGGATATTCGACATGATTTCTTGTTTCCAGAAATTTTTGTTCCGAGGCAAAATTTTTTCTTTTCAAGATGGTTTTTGGATTCTTCAACTGGTGTCTAAAGCTTCGTGGACTTCAGACGGATTTTTTTTTGTTCGAGTGAACGCCTGTAGATCTTGACAGAAAAAAAAGCCAAACGCTCAGTTTCGCTGTTCTAATAGTACAAGCTGGTTTATCGTGTTTTCTATAACAAAGATTAAGTGCTCAATCAGTATTTGGACATCTCTGATGTGCATATTGAAGTTGAGATTTGGGTCAACATAACATAACATTTCTTTCAAGGAACCTTTACCAGATTTTCTTTAGGCCTTAAGGAGTTTGTGAAGGATAAACTCGAATTAAACTTGAGTAACCTGTGATCAGGAAAAACAAAACCTTCCATATCAACTTTTTCTGTTAACTCTGAGTATTGATAACAATTAAATCTAGTACATAACCGGAGTGGTGAGTCGGTGCACTATTCGGCCACGATAATCTAAGTTCAGAACAGATTTTTAGGAGCTTGACACTTTGTGATTAATTGAAATCACCAATAACAATGAGGGCAGATTGCATGAAACTAGGTCAAAAATTCTTCATTCAGAAAATATCAAAAAAGCGGCACTGGCTGAAAGAAGTCTGTTTGTAAACCAACTTATGACAATTCACAAAACTAAGGCAGTAGGCTTTAAAGCTTTCATGATTCATGATTTTTAAGGGTGACATTCAATGGACTCTTGTATGTAAAAATGAGTCCTCCGACTGAGTTGTAGTTTGTGACATTTTTGGATTGATGAAATTCAAATCCAGACAATTATTGCTACATTTTCACCTCAGTATGAGCATAGCCATGGTTCCACACTTAAAACGAAAACGGGATAAAAAAAACTTGTTATGGCTGCAACTTCAGCAGTTTTTCGTCTTATAGATCTGGCAATTGTAAAAGGCACAGTGAACGGATCTGCGTTGTCAATCATTTTCTGTCTAGTCATTTTTAGCCTTTTCAACCAATCTATATCTTCTTGGTTAAGGAAGAAACGTCCGTGTATTATCAGGCCAGAAATCTTCCTTTTCAATTACACCGTTAGACTTGATCAAATACTAAATGGAAGCTTCTTGTTGAGCAGCCTGACCTTGTCACTACTCCCAAACTGATAATTTCAGCTCCATTAACTGAAGACCAGTCCTTTGTACCTTCATTGGTACACTCATTTGAAGTCCTTCCTATGTAAACACGTCTCCGGCGGAATTTCGCTATGCACCCGAGAAATTACTAATCGATTCTTTCGTTCCGATCTTGAGTTTCATTCTGCGTGGTTTTTAATCTGATCTACTAATGGGTGGTGATACATCTTCAGAGCCCAGATTTTGAATCTTTTGATACTGCTTGTGCTCTCTAGCCTATCACGACCCATGTTGCCAAGGTTCATCACGGGTTTGTTCGATATGCTGGTGTTTTCTGTTAGCGCAGCAATATTGTGGGACTTCATAATTTTAGCTTTAAATTCCATTTGAAGCAACTTCATTTGCTCAGATACTCCCTTAAAGTGATGCAGTTATCTCGTAAATCAGCTAAAGGTAAATCAGCTAATTACCTTTATCGACATGGTTCCACAGAAATCACATGACCTTGCTATGCTGCCACTTGCAGGACGATTCATTCTGATGAAACTGAGGCGAGTAACGTCACTGTTGCCTTTATGCACGTTCTGAGTCTGATCAACTGACAAAGAAAGAAAGAAAGAAAGAAAGAAAGAATTTATTTCTTCAGATATGATGCATACAAAAACATTTAACAATCAAACATGCGAACAAAATCTACAAAGCATCAATTAATCATCTGAAGAGGATAGACAAAGGTCAAAGATATGACCACTGGGTGTGTCTACCCTGAGTATAATAACAAACAAGAACTGAAGACCAGTATAAGTGAACTGAAGACAAGTATATGTAAATAAAATTAGAAGAGCCTAAATTTAAGTGTTACCTTTTGTGTTATGGTCTTGCAATTGTGCCTTTGTTATGTTCTTCAAAAAACCCTGGTATCTCGAAATTTCTAAAGTCTTAGAAGCTCATCATCTTTTCAGCCAGTATTCAGAGCCTCATATGAGGTTCTGACAGCATCCAGTGACAGACGTAATGAGAAAAAAAAATTTTCTCTCTCAAATCTGTCTAAGTACATGAGAAAATCAAAATTTTCATAAAAATGTCGATATCTCGAAAACTAGCAAGTTTTAGATGCTCATATTTTCGCATTAGAATCCGAAGCTAAAAAGGGTTTCTGATAGCACCCAATTCAAGGGTTGAATATTTAGCATTAAACAGAAACGCGAAATTATTTAAACACATTTTGTACTAATTCATAATTACCAAGAATATAGTTATCTCTAAACTTATGAACAAATAGAATTTCATCATTTCTTTCCATAAGGCCGAAGTTCTTCGGCAACAAGCTATTCTCACCCAAAATATTTAAGAGTCTTGAACCTCTGTATGTTAATGACTGTAATTTAGTTCTATTCTTGCAAAAAGGAGGACAAAAGGTAATAGAACTCGATTTTCTAGTATTGTATGCAAAGTTTTTCAGTGTAAACAACGAATTAAGATATTGATTTGGATTTCTATTATGAGCAGATCTCAAACAGAACTTGAGTAGATCATAAATATACAGTTCATGTACTGTTAATATTTTATTATCATAAAAAGTACTGGTAATGCTGTCATATTTTCTTTTGAAAAAAATCATTCTTATGATTTTTCTTTTGACAACACAAAGATCTTTCCTTTCAGTCCAGCTGCGTAGACTTTCAGTTGACATCCTTTATAATTTCAAAACTAGTAGCAGTCGGACACAAATTCGTTTCTCATAAATCAGTCTTCAACCAGGTCAAAAACGATGATAATACAGAAGTTAAGATAAGTGAATTGAAATTTGTAACTACTTTTCAACTCTCAAGCAGGCCATTTATAGACAAATGCAAAATCTGCACTCTTCGACAATCTGTATTGTCCTCAACTATACCTTTCCATTCGTCATTAACTTGCCATTTGTCAGATTTTCTGAAATCCTTCTAAGAGGCTGTTTGTTAACCGACTCACTATACAGTTTTCATAGCTCATTTTTGCTTTCAAAAATATAACACATTTCTGACTGTAAACTTGTCTTCGATAGTTTTATTCTTCGTTCTTTTTTATTTAATGAACCCAAAAGAAATCGTAGTTTCCATGAAAGGGTTCATTATAATTATTTTCACTGATTCCCAGCTCTCATGAATTACATCCAAACTCCAAATTGTATGGTCGCTTCAACTCTTAAATAAGTTTTTTTTTGCTTTTGAAGAAACCACGTATGGACGAACCTATATACGACGACTATTTATTTAATGACGTAGTAAAAAATGAACCAATTTTTGCGAACTTATTTCCTGAACCGATTTGAAAAGGAACTAGTATTAGGTCTGCTCACCGTCTGAATTCGAGAAGTGGTCTGGGTCCGGTGTCTGGACACTTTTGTGGCATCCATGCCAGATAGTGGAACAAAGTCACTGTCCTGGTCTGGCTGGTCAACCGGTTCTTCAGATACACACTTCGCACAAGGTACTCCTCACACCATACGTGCTCACTCACCAAATGTACCTGAAATGTAATTTTTAGGTCAAATTAATTGCTTTTACGACATCTCCCAAAGCTCTATTACGTCCCTGTTTTACCAGAAAGTTCTTCGCCGAAAACAAATTTCTGGGAAAGGTGCCAAAATGAACGTTGTTGAGAACTTTCTTGCCTCCAACAGAAGCTCCGTTAATTTTTCGGCGCGTGCTCCCTCAAAATTAGAATATATTGACGCCAAGTTCGTCTTAAGGAAATTTTAGGTATGTTGTTAACTTGTAGAAAATGGAGGGATCCTGTAAGAGGTCAGGGGGGCAGCCAACTCCCCCTAAATCTGTTACTGATTACACATTTATGACCCGACACAAACCCTTGCTTCAAGGGGCTTAGCCGCTCAGACTCATAATTTAAAAAAATAACAGTAGGAACAATAAGAATGACTGACTGACCTCGAAATTATGATAGATCGCGTTGCCCTCCGCGGGCCAGAACTGGGGCAGTCCGTCTGAGGTCACCGCACCCCCACCTCCCCCTGAGAGAGGGTGAAAGGGGCCAGCGAAGAGGACAGTGACAGTGCACCTCTGCTCCCACACCATCTGCCAGAAGTCTGCTACCGTGTTTTCCAGGGGCGCTTGAGCCAAAATGTAGGCTGCCCTCTCCGGATGCGTGTCCCTCTGTAAAACAAAAAAATTACTCAGTTGTGCATGAAAAACAAACTTTATCCGTACAACCAGTTTTAGATAAAATTGAAGCCTATTACAAACGCTTCAATTGTAAAACAGGCTAAACATAGCAAAACAGGCAAAACTCATAGCAAAAGAGACAGTTGGAAAAGTGTCTATGAATTCACAGAATTCAAGTTTAAACAAAAAGACGCCACCTTAAATCCCTATGAACTTGCTAATTTTCAGGAAAAATGTATGCCCATTAAGCTCTTTGAATTTCACTAACAATTTAATGTTGGACCATTTTGTTGATGAAATAACCCAATTTGAGAAAACTTGAACAATAGGTAAAATTTTTATTTTGCTGGGTAAAATGATAATTAAATTCGATTTTTGAAATTAGAAAACGATCACGTTTTTCGAGCCTTTTACTTTGCTGCTGTTCGATAGTGGAGTTTGAACAATTCCTTTTAACAATGGAAATGCAACGTCAAATGACGAAAAAAAAAACTGAGCGTGAACAAATTTGAAGACTTTCTCCTCAAAAAAGCCGCAAAAATCACGAAGACCTAAATTTTGAGTACTCACTACGTTCATTACTCTTAAAAACATGCAAAAACTTTTAAAAAATTACTGCAGAAATTTTTTGATTTTTTGAAGTTATTTATTCCCAAAATGGCGCTCAAGTATAACTAGGTTTTCACGGCTTAATTAAGGCATGTATAAGCTTTTCCTCCTATAGTAAGACTGCTCGTTCGAACCTGGATTAAAAATCAAAAGTTTTAAACCAATTTTTCTCGAATTTTTTTTCATGTCGTTCGAGTCACGACTGAAAGGGCTTTAATATAACCTATTATTGGACCCATTCCGATAAATTTTAGGCGTACCTTAAATTCTACGGAAACACACCCGAATACAAACATCCTCCCAATCTTCAATGTTCGGAACAAAAATGGATCATAGGGTTTTTTTTCCAGTGGGAAACATGCCAAACAAAATCCAAAATTGAGACAAAATCAATCACGTTTCGTTGCAACGTTTGTGTTTTCAATGTTTAACACCTTAAGTTGCCTTCCTTTTAGCAAATTATATTGAATTGTACTAAATTGTATTTCAGCCAGAAACTTTTTTTCCCAATAGACAGAAACTAACACCACCTAAGAAAGTGCCTTTTATTAAGTAATTCTATTAGGTAATTAATAAAAACCCAATACAATTAAATCTGATGGTCTACTTACGTTAAAAATCGTATAGTCTACTACATTTAATCTGATAATCTACTTTGCGCTACTCAAAATTTTGTTCGATATACATAAATTTGATCGTGGTCTTCGATGTAACGGGTCGTTGTGACAGAAAAGCAACCTATACGATAGTATCTTATTCTAAAATATACTATGCCAGTTTATCTCCATGGACATACAAAAGCACATACTATAAAAGACCACATCGAATGAAATATTACATGACAAAAACATGATAAAAAACATGACATGAATACCGAGGCTTGACGCTTAACTAGAGTCTCAATTCAGCTGGCTCACTTCATATGAGAGTTTTCAGTAAGTGTTTAAAGAGTCATAATTGAGTAACTTCTGATGAAACACAACGTACTCATATCATTACAATCGCAGCAATTTCAAAATTACAGATTTTATCTTCGGCGAAATTCAACGAGGCAACACGTTTACTTATCTTGGATGCACAGTAATTCACTTAAAACAGTGATCCCACTTCTACTACGAAATGGCGTTCTCATAAATTTCCCATGACATTTATAACTTGCGCCGAAATTGTTTTTTCAATCATCTACGAAATTAGCCACGGTTGAGTAGAAGCAAGGCAATGATTTGGCTAACTGACAGAAACCGCTCAAACTAAAGTCGATCCTGTAATTCACCGTTTTCGATAATTCACCGTTTAGGCCTCGCGTGCAGCGCTAACGAAAACCGTGCAAAAAAACTAAGCGTTATTTTATCGAATGACCGCTTTTTTATGAGTGGGAAAGATGAAAAGGAGAGATGCATTATTCTCGTGGACATGGAAAAATTATATGCTCTTCGCGCCCAAAAAACGTCAGATTTGTGACGAAACTTTCGAGATCTCTGCATCAATTTTTTAACAAATGTGCACAGTAAATAGCAAAAACTGGAGGTTTTCAGCTTCATATGCGTTAACATTAACCTCAAAAACAAAAAGAGTCCACTTACAACTGGTTCATTTAAGCACTGATTAACCTAAAACTCCGATTGATTTCGAACAGGCTACCTTAAAAGACTTTTTTTCCTTACTGAAAGCTGAAAATAAAGGATATTTCTTTCATTTATGCCTAAGTTTCTATCGCATACTTTCAGATTTAGGTCTCAAAATACCGAAGATAACCATGGTAAACTTGTATGAACTTAAGAATGACTCCTACTTTAAGTTTTGTTTCTGTCTCAAATGTCGAGTCCGCGTTTACTCTTGTTTTCGACGAAATTTGCGATATTTAAATGCGATACTAAATTTGTATTTGTCTCTTGCTCAAAAGATCAAACAACGAAATCTACCCTTTAACGAGAGGGTTCCCTCACCCCTCGATAAAGGTTACTTTTCGTTGTTTGATTTTTTGACCAAGAGAGGGTTCCCTCACCCCTCGATAAAGGGTAGTTTCCGTTGTTTGATTTTTTGACCAAGAGACATTTGCTTCAACCATAATGACAAATGAGCTTAGAGGGTCACCTTTTTTGCTTTGATAATTACAAAAATCGGCGAACTTTTATTGCTAATTGGGGTATATTATTTGCTTCGATTCCTCAAATGGGATATTTTATATTGCACGCTAAACTTTCTTCTGGGCTACCATGGCTGTTGCGCAATTAAGGAGAGTGTTATAATGGCATGGGATAGAGAAGTAAAAGATAAGAGGTCATTCAGAGGCGAAGCTTTTCTTCGCAAACACTAGAGGGAACACGACAAAAAACAGCTCTATAAAAAGCAATAGGAAAAAGTGAAAACGAGCATCGAATTAGTTAAAATTCGGCTGTTTCGGATTCGATCAGCGACCTAGAGATTATGAGGCTCACGCACGCTTAATACATCAAACACCATCCACAAATAAAGCAGAGAACAGATGCCATGAAATTTCCAATGCTAGAACGTGATTATAGCAAACTTGCCCTCAAATAAGTAAACACTTTCCAGGAATTTTTATTTGCGAGTTAGGTTCGAAAAGAACGTTCGTACTAATACACTGGCTGCTGGTTAGTGTAAAAGCCAAAATTCAGATATTCTAGCCATTGAAGTAGTCATTTATAGGTCATTCGCTACTAGGTACCACAGAAAACTAAGGCACCTAGCAAAAAGGAATGTATCCTATTTACAAAAGCAAGCTAGCGAGCATAGTGTTATATTACGAATCCACCTTTTTTCCTCCCCAGGTCGCGCACGAAAAGCTCTTATGGAACTTTAGTTACATAAGCATTGGAAATTTAATAGCGTCTGTTTCTCTGCTCTATATGTGCCTAGCTTCTGCCAATTGTCAAACAACTGTGGCACAGATGCGAAGACGTGCTACTCAGAACCTACAGGACGGCTGTTCAATTCCAGCACAGCAAAATTTATATCTGCAAGGCATATTTTACACACTTTTTCCCCTTTTTCACTAACTGTTTAGAACTAATTCTGATATTTTCTAGCTTGTGTTTGCAAAGTGCAGCTTCGATTCTGTGTTTATTCTTTTAGCATCCCAAATGAGTGGATAAGGTTTATTTCATGTGGATTTTGGATACTATTAAGACATTCACTTACAAGTTAAGTATAAAACTTACAATGGCAGATGCGTTGATGTAGTCTCCGTAAGCCAGTGCTGCATTTGGATTTAGGGTGATGCAGTTGCGGTCGAATGGTAGGGCGGTGGGGAATCTGTTCTTGTCCTGGTTGGCCATACAAGTGGCCTTCGCAAAGGAAACCTCCTCCGGCTCGTAAGCACACAGTGCCTCCCACTCCGCGTCCAGCTGACTCTTGTCGTGCAGGTGTGACTCCATATATGCCTGGGAAAAGACCGCGAGTTGCAAAACATTCTTAAATTGTGTAGAAACCTGTGCCAAAAAAATGGTAAAACTCTTATCGAATTCTAGAACAAATAACGGCAAGGAGTAGCTATTCAATTAGGATTTCAAAATATTATTGCAACTTCTGTAGGTTTTATTGATTTACTTAATTTTTGCAAACTTGAAAATTGTGCCCCTGTGTTGAAATCAAATGATTCCTTGACAAAGATTTCATGATTCATGAGCCCATGAACAAGAAATATATAATCAATAACAACATAGCCAACTGACAGTTGGAAAAGAGTAATGAACGCAAGAAAACAGAAAAAAAACTACTTGTTTTTTTTTCAAAATGTTCAGCTTTTGAATTTCAAAGAAAAAAATAGATGGTCTTAAAGCTCTTTGAATTTGTAGAAAAATTTATGATGGACACTTTTATGTTAAAATTAACCCAATTTGAGAAAGCTGGATCAATACGAAAAATTTTATTTCACTGGGATATCTGATAATTATTTTCCATTTTCGAAATTAGAAAACGATCACGTTTTTCGTGACCTTTACTCTTTTGCTGTTCGATAGTGGAGTTTGCCTTCCTTTCAACAAGGAAATGAACTGAACTTAAAAAGAAATCACAAGGCGAAAAATCAAAATTGCGAAGTCAAACCGCGAAAAATCAAATTTGTTGAGCGTGAACAAATTTTCGTATATAAAAAAAAATCAGCAAGACCTATTTAAGAGTACTCACTACGTTCTTTATTCTTAATAAACTTTCAAAACAATCTCAAAACAAGGTACAAACATTGATTAGCGAACTACAACTTACCAATACGATGTGTCCAGTAGTTATGTCCAGGTTTCCACCACAGGGTTCCTCGTTCCTACAACAAGAGCCAGAACTTAAAACCAATATACAAAAAAATAATTGTTAGTTGGTTTCATTCACATTCCATTTTCCTTTTTCCCCAAGAGCCATCCCATCTACACGTACAAATGCGATTCAAATCAAAAAATAAATCAACAAATCAAACTATTATCATCAAAAACAAAATACCAAATTTTTAAATTACTGTCGAAATTTAACAGATCCTAGTTAATTAAATCAAAATAGTTGATACATGTTGATATCAAACTTACATGTTGATACATTCGATGTAACAGGCACTGCAATCTGCTACGCACTCCCTGCGCAGCATTTTAAAATACGATATCAAAACCAATCAAGGAAGTTTCTACGAATTATTCTTGCCCATCAACGGCGAGCTTCATTTTAAAACAGTGAAACACGCCTTGTGTTTCCACAGTCAAGGAAATATGACGTATCCTGAATTAAATTTTAGTCTAATCTAGTGACAAAATTGATGATAAACTCATTTCATAGTAACGATATAAATGAAGTAAGCGCTAATTATTTCGCGAGTATTCTTCTTAAAATTCAGAACATTTGGTGCACTATCTGCAAATATCTGCGGAAAAAATTTCTACTAAACCAACATAAGCTTTAAGATAATTGCTTATCTATTGCAGACTGCTTTACGGAAAATTCTATGAATATTGAATTAAACAAGCCTACAAACGACATTCTGACATTTTTTAGCAACAGGAATAGAATAAAATTTTGGTCACAGGTTTGGTCAATTTCTTCATTCAGATATTATTAAGGAAGACCAAGGAGATGCAAGAATCAAAGAAAATCCCAGTACAAAATCCGAAAAGATGAGACAAGCGCTAAAGCAGTCCAAAATCGTCCATAGCGGTCAGGTCACATTATTGCTACGAATATTTTTCGGCCTATATCAAGAATTCGAACATGAAAAAAATAAAAACAGTCATTTAACAAATTGAAGTGAAAGAAACAAGACAACGTTTAAACTATGAGGAATGATTCATACCAGTTAACTATCTCTTGTGAAAAGGTAATGTGTCGTGATTTTTTGGAGTGAATAAATACTGACCATGAACTGACACTGGCCCTGTCGGACAATTCACTTGAGACACTCTCTCCTCTGTCCTTGGAGGATGTCTTCACCAGAGGCTGTCCCATGCCCTCCTCCCCTCCCGGTTGCTGAGTCACAGTTCCTCCCTTGTTCGCTTCACTCGAGTTCTTCTTGCTCACTGCTTTGTGTTCACGGCACAGTTCCTGCAAAAACGAACCATTAGTTTAGATGCGAAAAAATCCGAAATTAGACTTCCTTCAGAACAACAAAATATAGCCGACAGACAGGCAGAGTATCGATAAACAAGGAACTGAAAATAAAAGATTTACTTGTTCGGATAAATCGATTCACTTACGAAATTTCGAATTTAAGTCACTTAAAACAAAAAACTTTTGAGTTGCCGCGGAATACAGTTCAACAGATGCTGAGCTGAGCTTCGCACCGCTTGCGATACACATATGAATGACTATGATTAAAATCAAACTGAAAAAGAAAAAAAATATATAAAAAAATCGTTTTTGTCAATAAAAAATGAACAAAAGCCCAAAATATCCGGAAAGACAAAAATAAGCATAGACAATTTTTTCTATGTGCAAGAAAAACAGGTCTCAACTGGAATCGAACTCCCGGGATTTGTCGACTGAAGCCTGGGGGTTACAGCAACTTGGAACAAAGCTGAACCATAGAGCTACGGGAACTAAGCCGACCAAAAACAGACGGACGATAGTCCGAAAAAGCACAATAACTCTAGTTTGCAAAAAATGTCAGGCCGGATTCGAACCGCTGGCCTTTGCCGTCTCAAGCAGCTGCTTTACCTCTTCGCCAGCTGGGTGAATCAGACTTGATTTTACAATAACCAAGCGGTAACAAAGCCGAAAAAACCTGAGCAGAAAACACTTCATGCCAAAAAATTCAAGCTCCTCAGATCACAAAAAAGCGCATAAAACTTTTTTCGGTAACGACGCACTAAGAGGTCACAAAGTCGATATTAATGAAGCCGAAAACTATTTGGCCGATAAAAAAGACAAAAAAATGAAAAAAGTGAAATTTTAACAAATCGAGCAGGTAAAATTATAACTTATGTGAAAAGCAAATTTCGATTCCGCAAATTTTACAGCTGAAATAAACGGTTCTTAAATGTGGCAACTATGCCGACAAAACATAAGCTGACAAAAAATAGACCGACATTTTTTTGAACCGGAATATTTACCGTTTGAAAAATCTGGTCTTGGTCATATTCGAACCCAGGACCTTTGCCGCCCCAGGCATATTCGTTACCACCAGGCTAAGTGTGCAAGAGACTGGTGAGCAAATGTACAAGAGACACTACAAAATATGAATTCACTATGAACCAAGGTACCATCAGGAGTCCACTGAGTCCTGTGGACAAAGTTGTTTACGGGAAAACAAGTCTACAACCGGATTGAAATACCTTTGCTTATCAAAGCGTATTTTTAGAGCTTCAGAGATAAAATGATCGCCATCATAAAACTTTTTCAATTTGAAAATTCTTTTAGGATAAATTTTTTTGATAAAACAAGTCCGATTTGAGAAAACTGGGTCAATAGGTTTTTTTTGAATCCGCTGACAACTAAAAGTTAAAATCTAAGTTCCAAATTAAAATGATTCAGTACAAAAATTATTTTTAAAACAAGGTTTTACGAAATTTGAAGAAAAGATAAACCTTTTAAAACTAAGTCAC